CCCCCCAGAGGCCGGCCTCCCTGCCTCCCCTCGTGGCCTTCTCCGTCCTCCCCCCAGAGGCCGGCCTCCCTGCCTCCCTTCGTGGCCTTCTCCGTAGCTTTATTTTCACGTTTGACACATATTTTACACATTCATTTTACGTGTCCTCTTTCCCCTCCAGTGTAATGGAAACTACAGTGCAGAGATTCCTAGCTCCTCTCCTCTCCTCTCCTCTCCTCTCCTCTCCTCTTCTTTTCTTTTCTTTTCTAACATCATTGTTCCTTTTTGGGCAGGATTCGATCACCTCAGGTGTGGCCCCTGCACTTCTCCCACCACTACAGCACCCGGGACCCATCGCCTCAGCCCCAGTGCTCTTCCCTGCCCGCCTCTCCTCTGCAGGATGCCCCTGCAGGTTTGCCTGCTTGTTTTGGCTCTTTCCTGACCCTGTGTTCAGTTTCCCTATATTCCACATGTAAGTGAAACCACCCGAAATTTGTCTTTTCCTCCTTTGTGCAGCATAAAGCCTTCCATCCATGTTCCCACGGATAGCATGGGTTTATCTTTTTGATCGCTGCATAGTATTTCCAGCCCCTTTTTATTATTATTTTTTTTTAAAGAAGTAATGTGTGCATCACAGTTTTGAAGGTAAAATTTCCTCATCCTTCATGAGCCCCAAAGGGACCTGGCCACAATGTCCACAGGCTTCTCTCAGGTCTCTGGGCTCTATGGTCTCGAGAGGGTGTCTGGCTCAAAGTTCAAAACCAACGGCCCATGTGCATTAAGGGATGGGCATGGAGAAAGGCTAGCAGACTTCGATCCTAAGTTATTCTTCCTTCTGAGCTTCCTACCTACAAGGTAATGTAAGTAAAGCCTCACAGTTCTAGCAAGGTTTTAGGGCTTCAGCCTCAAAATTAGATTCATTTCATTGGATTCTACTTTAAAATTTTAGTTTAGGCCTTTCTTTAAGCTCTCCACATTAATCAACTTTTCCCCCCACAATGTCCAAAAGCAACACTTAAAAGGAAAACAACAACAACAACAATAACACTTGAACTGCAACATTTAGAATTTAGCTTACAAACAGATATGGATAAAGGTGAATTACTCAAAAGTTGAAGTCTGGAATACAAGTCACTAAAAGCAAAATGCCATCAGCCACATCTCAAAATAAACTTGAAAGCAGACAGCCACTGAAGTGAGAGCCTTAGATTCTAAAGTTTAGGTGAAACATACCGCGGGAGAGGGCAGCTACCCCATGCCGAAGACTGTTATAAAAACAAGAGTAAGTGCTTCCTGCTGTCCAAATGAGGTTGCCAAACATATTTCAGTTTTGCTTTAAGCACTTTTTTAAAGTCAGTGCCAGAAAATTCAACTAAAAGGCAACTCAAAAGTTCTCCCACCTGAGAGTACAAAGAAAACTCTTGGGAACTGACCACCACAGGAGTCAACACACTGACCAGTTCGCCTGGCCCTCCTACTTCACGCTCTCAGGAAAGCAGGCTCAGAGATCATGTGTTTTCTGCCTCTGAAGCTTTCAGCTGAGACTGGGTTACTACCTGAGGGAGAGCCACAGGCAAATCAGCAATCGATGCAAAATAATTTTCGGTAAGCAAAAAGTATTGGCATCATCTTGATGGAAGGCTCAAACATATTTTCCTGTGTTCTGAAAAGTGGGTGGAGGAGCCCTGTGGAGTGATTTTCATTTGCTTTAAAAGTCATTACAATAATTTAAAGCAACAATATTGAGCTAAATGTTGTGTCTTTTAAAATTTGTTTTGAAAAACCAGATGATGATCTGGCAGCACCAGTTACAGCTGAGAGCAGCTGCTTCCTTCCAATCGGGCCACCTGGGCTACAGTTTGTCATGGTCCCCAACATCCTCACCATCCTTTTATTTGGGCACTGGTTGGCCCCTGCAGGCGGCAGAGCTTGGACCCCACCCTCCACTGCAGTGAAGTACAAATCTGGGCTTGCTCTCCCAGCATAACTACTAGAAAGCCAGGCAAGAGATGAAAAACAGGGCAGGTAGGCGTCTGATCCCCAACAGCAGGGAATAAATGAGTCTACCATCAATCACCTCAGCTTCCCACCTGAAGGCTAGCTCTGACCTGTGGCTGAGGTAAAGGGAACCCAAACAAAGCACTACAGTCTCCCTGACCCATATGGCTGGAACAGGCAGGGCAGAATTTCCAGAAAGAAAACAGAGATCTAGCACAAGAGATAAAAGAGACCCAAACTTAGAAAAAATTCATAGAATACATTCATGATGTGTGTGTGTGTGTGTATACACAAAGTTTACCAAAAATGTCAAAATCAAGGCACAATAACTTGAATTTTAGGTCAGTGGAGATAAAGAGAGGAACAGGATATAAGAATAACATCAGATCCCAAGATAGTACCAGCATCTAGAAAATACTGAAATGTTTTCAAATTCTAAGGTAAATTTCACCTAGAATGTCTATACCCAGCCAAACTATCGATCAAGTATCCATGCAAAAATAAAATACACGTTGGTACGGTAACTCTCACAAAATTAGCATTTTATGCCCGATTTCTTGGTAAGCTACCAAAGGAGAAAGAAGACAGAGGATGCCAGAACAGGAAGTCCAACAGGCAAAGGGCAACTTTGAAGAGGCCGAGAACACACTGGGTTACAGGGACTGTGATGCCATCTAACACCACAGCATGTCCACCTCTGATGAATGAAGACGCATGGACTCTCGTCTCTCAAAATAGGTAGGAAAGTGCACTCAATATAATGAAAAGTTGGAAATGACATGTGAGAGGAGTACAGAATGGGTGGGGATCAGTGATGCAGGTGCCTCTAGCAACACCTTTGTGCACTGCTTGATGTGCAATCAAAATGAATGGATTGCTTGGGTGAGCCTGCAACTCAACGTCAAGCAAGCATGTACACAGAGAAACACCATCCCCGAGGGGCAGACCGGAGCACTGCGTCTCTAGCCTTCACCCCGGCCCCTCAGAACCACTGCAGTGGAGCCGAGCTCAGGGCTCGTGCCATGAGCCAACACTGGGTCACTGTAAGAGCAAATGCTGATACTGGTGACTGCGTCAACTGTGTGGCGTCGTCAAGGAGACTCTTCATTCATTGCACAGGGCCATCTCTGTGAGACCCCCAGGAGAACGCCTGAATGGTCTTCATTCTGGGCTTCTGGGGCAGCTTCTGACTAATTGGATTGTCTGTGCCTGTGCGTGATGTGCACTGAGCAACAGAGTGGGTATTTGCGCCCCGTCCAGCGTGGGGCCAGCAGGAGCAGGTGTGAGGTTTTCTGACATATGCTTTTTCTCAGCTGGACTTTACCTCGTCTCCTCCCTACCCAGATTCCTTCTCCATCTTTCTGCTTTCAGATTCACTTTAACTGTTTTCTGTCCTGTGTTTTATGAAGCCCTGCAAGTGCTTCCCTAGACCTTCCTGGAAAGTGGGTGGGTGGGTGAATGGATGGGTGGGTGGGTGGACAGATCGCCAAGTGGGAGGTCAGACAGACAGGTGGGGAAACGGGTGATCTGCCTTCTAAGACAAGACTGAAAGTGTGGAAGCTGCTCCCCCACTGGTGGGCCAATGGGGACTTACAGTTTATCTGTATTGACTGATTTTTAATAATGTCAATAATTCACGTATTATGCATAATTAAAAATAATTTTCAAGAATAACTCCACAATGCCAGCAATGCTTTAACAAGTGTCTAAAGTTGGCTGATTGCATCCCCGGCGACAGCACGGCTGTAACTTCATTACCTGCAGTGATCAGTCCTCTCAGTAGCCAAATCTGGGATCATCACTCTCCCTGCCTAACCAATGAGGCACAGACAGGCTCCAGAGGACCTCCAAGCTCGCATCCCTGACAAGTGGTGGGACAGGGATGTGACCTCAGGCTGGCTCTGAACTGCCATCTCCAGAAGAGACCAAATAGTACTAGGCACGGTCGGGTGCTGGTGAGCAACAGCAAAAATCACTGAGATGCAAAGAACTGTCCTAAACAGCTCCCAGTGCACCACAGCCAGTCCTCTCATTTCCCCACCCGAGGAAACATCATCATCATCACCCGAATTTTGTAGAGTAAGAAACTTCAGATAAGTCTACCCAAGATCAAGCAGTGCCTCATGCCCACCCAACACAATTCTTCATCTATCATCTACCTGCTGCCTTCTTAAAGGATGAAAGGCAAGATTTTGCTCCCTTTAAACTTAAATGTTGTATCTTTTGGCAATCTGCTCATCCACAGGCAGGCCTTTCACACATTAGAAAACTTGATGGTGAAACTCACGTTTACCTGAACCACACCCATACAGGAATCCAGAAATATCGATCCTTTCGGCTCCTTGGAGATCTTCTCATCTTTGTAAAAATTCAAATTGTAGGATCCATCACCAAGTTGTATGAGGTGGAAAAACCGTCTTTTAAACGACTGGGAGAAAAACACACACAGCATTCATTACAGGAGGGGCAGAGACGCGACCTCTCTGGACAACTCACTAAATAGGGCACAAGCCGTTCCGTGCTCCCCAAAGCGAGTCCCGCCTGGCCAACGCCCGTCCGCGGGCGAGGGAGAAGCCGCTCTGCCGCTCACCTGCCAGGCTCTCCTTCCAGCCACGGACCCTGCAGCTCGCCCAGAGAATTTGAGACTTTACGTAACCACCCAAAGCAGTGCCCAGGGGTCCCGTCGGGCTGCCATGCAGAGGCTCAGGAAGCCGCTCGCAGCCTGGAGTGTCCTGCCCACAGGGCAGAGGCGCATTGGAGCCATTTCCAGCAGCCCCACCAGACTCAGCCTCTCCTGCAGCGCCGCCCTCCGCTGTGGGCCTCTGCCCCACCCCAGCACCTTCTGTCCTTTCTACTGTGGCTCATCGCGCCCCTCGGCTCCTGCACACTCTTGCACATGGCTTTACTACTGCCCTTGCAGCCCGCCCGGCGCCATCACTGTCCTGTCCCTGTTCATGTTTGAGTCACTCGAGTGTGGCGTGGAGCTGCGCGAAAGCACTGAGGCTCAGCCCGGGGTACAGGTGTCACCTCTTTGGGTGAGGCAGAGACCAGACAGCAGCCACGACTGTAGCTGTGGGCCATCTGGGCTTGCGGGCTTGTGGTCAGAGGGTGACCGGGGTCGTGCCCTCGGCCGGGCATGACTAGGAAGATGTCGAACCAGACAGAGTCACCTTTGTCAGGAAAACAGCAAGCCCGCTCCTCCTGAACACTATTCTCAAGAGCCAGAGCAAGCAGGGTTGGGAGGGGTGAAGGCAGGCGCTGGGCCTCTTACCCGCATGGTCACGCTTATAGCGCTGTTCATGTTGCCTTTGTACAGCCACCCGTGCTTGGTGATGCCGCCCTTCTGCGAGCCCAGGGAGGCGGCGTCCTGGGAGAGAGGAGACACCGGTTATGGCCCACACGCGCCAGGCGCTGTGAGCTGCGCCGGTGGGAGAACCACTCTTCTGGGGTCAGCTTCACCACCTGCCCCTCACACCCACCAGCCAATTTACAGTCCCCTGAATGGTCAAAGTTGGCAGCAGCCTAGTTCTCTGGAAACGCTTCGCCATTAGAAGGCCACGTTGTGGAATGCACTCATTAGACACTGAAACAAAGGGTCCAGCCCGGCCCTTTGCTTCAGTGTCTAATGAGTGCATTCCACAACTGCCCACTCAAGCTGCAAGGTCTCGCCTGTTTTCAGGAAAAATGTTTTCAAGTTACACTCCCATCTCCCCTCCCTAGCTGGAGGGACAAAAGCAAATTCCTGGAAAACTTCCCAGAGGCTTAGTTCAGGGAAAGGTGACTAGAGAAAGGAAGGAAGTGGAAGACAAGAGAGCGAGGAGAGAAAATGTTGGAAAGAGAGGCAGGAGGGTGGAGGGTGAGACAGGAGAGGTGAAACAGCCAGAAGAGTGAAGGGATGAAGTCCTGACCCCATCTAGTTTACGGAGGTGGCATGGTGGGGCCAGCTGCTGCTAAAATTAAGGGATACATTTCTACACAGAACAATAAGCAGACAGATGAGCTATGCACGCCAAAGGCACAGCCCAGTGCACCAAGCCTGCTCCCAGTGATGGTCGTTTGCCCCCTGAAGGCTGTGCCCCATGCACATTTCAGTAGCACCGTGGGGCGGGGGCCATCAGCGGGAAGTGTCCAGCTCATGGGTTGACCTCCAGTTACAAAGAGCAGTGTGGGAAGCCACTTAGGCTCTGACTTTGACCATGTCCGTATCAATGATGGGACGTTACTACCACCAGCATTTTATTCCTACTAGGGCTATTACTGCTAGCATTTTCCATGTAGTTGTGCCTTTCCATGCAAGATTCCAAATGGTCCTCTTCTTACTATTCATCCTATCAAGTTCTTAATATCTTGTTTCTCATTTTGAATGGCCACTTGCTTTTCCCAGAATACTTTAAAAGTGGTTTCTAAAACCATTTGCTCCCATGAACATAATTAGCACACACAAGTTACTGCAGTTGTAACTTAGCTGACAATTTGGAGGGAGGGAGTTGGAAATAAAACCCCTGAACTCACAGTGGCACCCAGCGCCGAATGGGGAGAATGAGGACTGCAGGGTCAGGGCACTAACTGGGCACTGTGACGGGGTCACTTTAATGCCCTGTTCTCTTCACCCATGTTTCTAGTCATAACCATCACTCCAATTGTTGAGGCCTGAACATGTTCAAGTCAGAGCTCTGGGTACAATATGCTTCTTTGGAAGCCTTCACTGGAGAAACACTCATCTGAAATCTACTGGTCTCCACTTTGTTTCAAGATATCCTATTGACAAACAACCTAAACTGAAGGTCTAAGTCATCTTGCTATCTTCTAACTGTAGCCAAATCTTATCCTGGCCTTGGAAAATGCTCTCAGAACAAATAAACAGGCCTAGAACATGCCATGCTCTGTAGTCAAGTCGAAACAGAGACCTCACTGCAATCATTCAGACAATAGTCTTTCAAGGATCATTCCAATTCTTGGTTCAGTTACATGTTGATCATTTTCTAATTACTCTCTACATCTGCAAAATAAATCAAGTTTCAGCTGTGCGCCCGGGTCCTACCTCGTCTTTGTCGACCTCCTCGTCAACTTCATAGACATGAACTGGAAGTTTATCCAACTTGACCACTTTGCTTCAAAAAGAAGAAAGAAACTTCTTTTATAATTCCCTAGGTAATAATCCCTGAACAGACAGTACATTTCTTCTTCCCTCAGAGGAACCAGCATTTAACCAACCAAAAGGTGGATCACCAGGGAGAGAGAGAGAACAATCCCAGACTTACTTTTCCATGCAGATGAGCCATAGTCAGGGAGCCCCCGAAAGCTAGGGAGAAGGGGTGGCATGACTCTTTGGGAGTCAGGAGCATTAAAACGGGACCGTTTCTGATCACCAAAGACTTGGGCCGAATAACTGTTAATGTGATGTTTATGAGAGAAAAGGGAAAATGGGATCAAAGCATCTCAAGGGACTGGAGCCCGATGTGACGCTGACGACATCACAACTACAATGCAGCACGCCCACCAGCATGTCTTAGCAGCGATTTGTGCTGGGCTCGGCAATGGCTGCCTCACCTGTGTGGCGCCCTGTGCTCCTTCACAGGTGGGGGTAAAGACCAGGTAGTAGATGAAGACACTGAGGCTTTCCGGTGTCTCATGCTCTTGTGCTCAAGTTTACTTCCCCGCTTATGCGCGTGATAATTGGAAACTCTTTTTAGTGACCAAACCAGCAGTAAAAAGTATGTTGCACAGGGCCTCCCTGGTGGCACAACGGTTAAAGCGCAGCACTATGAAGCTATTGCCGCCCCTACAGCAGGAGTTCGATCCCAGCCAGGGGGGTGACCCGCATGGCGCGGCAGACCTCTCCTGACCTGCCCACTGCTCCCCTCAGCAGTGTACTTCGTCCATCTGCCTGTTCTGCTCCCACTCTGCCTTTCATCCTCCACACTTCTGGCCTGTGCCCCCAATTCTGTATATATAAATAAATAAATCTTTTTTTTTTTTTTTTTTTGGAAAATATGTTGCACGGTGAGTGCCCTCCACCTCATTCTGTGCCCTTTGTGCCTCAAGAGCAGCCTGCAGGAGGCTCTCTATGAAACAAAGCTAGTCCGATCCCACGGGGAGAATTCAAGAATGCCCAGGGGACTACTGGGTGAGTGTAAAGCTAGATGTTCTCAACCCATCTGGAGAAGATAAAGCTCCAGGGCGTGTTCTCGGCTGCCGTTCAACACCAGGCGATGGGGAAGCTGGCTGAACACGCCTGAGGCGTGGCTGAACCACACAAATAGCAAAAACAAACAGCCCAGTCTTGTGAGAATAGTGTGAATGGCTCCAAACTCAGAGCTGCAACCAGCACGAGATTACACCCTGCGCTTCAAGTCAACTTTCCACTTGGTGAGAGTGAGCTCCTTTGGAAACGCTTGCTTCCGACTTGCATAACCAACTCCCAGCTCGCCAACTGCATCCTTTCAGGACGCACCGTTTCAGGAGGGGAGGCCTCCAGGTCAGACCACAAATCAGCCTAAAGTGCACTTGCTTTGTGGTTTTCTAGAACAGCTTAATACGTGAAAGGAGGTAGACATCTTGGGGGGGAAATGCATGTTCTCTGATTTACAGTCTTTAACCTAAAATTGATTGCTTTGGTCTGTTCACGGTGTTATTTTTTTTTTTAAGATTTATTTATTTATTTGTACATACAGAACTGGGGTACAGGTCAGAGGTGCAGGGGCGGTGAGAGGCTTCACCAGAGACAGAGTGGGGAGCAGAACAGGCAGATCGATGAAGTCCACTGCTGAGGGGAGCAGCGGGCGGGTCAGGAGAGGTCTGCCGCGCCGTGTGGTCACCTCCGGGGCAGGCGGGAATTGAACTCATGCGGAAGTGGGTTTAGCCTCTCAGTGCAGTGCTTTAACCCGCTGCACCACCAGGGAGGGCCACAAGGTGTTATTTTTAAGGTGAAATATACATCGTTCAGTGCACTTGCATTTTCTTAGTTTTCTATTTCTCACTGAAAAAAATCTCACCGGTTTGGGTTTTATCATGGGTACCCTGAAAAGACAGAAGGGGCATAATCAAGCCAGCCATGTTTTTATACCACCCCAGGCGCCCCCAGTCGTAGGGCAGGTTGGATCGTCACAGGCCCCCTAAACCGTCGTGGCCTGGACTCCGGGTTCTCTGGCTACAGATGCAGTTATTTTGCTCCTTAAGTATTTCAACTCAAGGAATTTCCCTGTTTGTGCCTGCCCTGTGGTCTGACCATTTACTCACTTGGGAAGCTGGCGAAATTCCTCCGAATAATCCTCATATTTGTAGTTGACAAGATGCCAGTCAGAGTTGTAGGTTTTGATGCACTAGAGGAGGAGGGGGATTGAAAAAATAAAGGGTATAAGAAGAAAAGAACAAAGAATCATGAAGACTTTTAGGGAACATTTGGGTTCAAGAAGGCACAACCACACAAACATCAAAAACATTTCTCTCCCAAACCACCCATGTCTGAAATTCCAGCATCAGACATCCCTGTGAAACTTAAGAACCACTGAAATATCCCCCTTGGGAGAAGGCCCGCTTTAAGTTTCCATCATTCTGGTTCTGAAAACAGACTTCACACAAAGTGCTATTTCTGACTCAGAAACACTTGTTCTTAGCGAGGCCGCAGTTTTTACTAGAACATGAAAGTGACAGCAAGCGTGAGCCAGAAGACCCTTCAGTGCTGTTCTCTCAGATCGCAGCTTGTTCTGTTCGCTCAAATTAAGCTGTCCTCACTGTTCTTCCTATTCATAAGGGACAGAGTGAGGTGATGCGAAGGGAGCCCCAATTCTCAGGGGCTCCAGGGCCTCTCCCCTGGGGTGCCTGTGCATGAGTGAACAGGAGGCACTGAGCAGAGGGCCCACCCAGGGATGCTGCGCTGAGCTGCATTCGGCCACCGCCCCATGTGCCAGACTCAAGGCCCAGCCCGAAGCCCTCTGCTCGGGGCCCAGGGTGCTCCTGCGGACCCCCAGAGCAGCTCCAAAAGCATCATGGGACCGTCAGATTATCAAATGTGAATAATCTAAATCAATACATGAAGCCTTTGATTTCATTACCATGCTGGTAGGCATGAGTTCACGGGTGAAGACATTGGTGCTAAATACATTGATGTCCTATACCTCATGCCCGTGATCCTGGCTGTTACTGTCTTCAAGAGCAGTCTCTAATCAGCTCACTTCAAGTCAGCATTTACCTGCCGGCCTTGTTACCTGTTTCAGGCCGGCTCAGACCTCCTGCAGCTAAGCCCCCTTCATCCTACAAGTCACGAACGTAATTACAGCAACACCCGTAAGTGCTTCCTTCCTGCCAGCACTGTGATAAGCAGTTAACTGGCCAGGCTGTACAGGAGGGTAGTGCAAGTTTTTTATGTTATATTCTGGAAGTGGAATCATAAGTAGCAAAGGGAAAAGAACAGAGAAAGAGGTGGAAGCTGCCCACTTTCAGTTTCTTTGCTATGTAGTTACAAATTATTGCAAATACTCTTATTCTAACAGATGATGTAAAAGTTTTTCCACGACATCTTTACAATGACAACACCAGACAGCCACACTCAAAATTACATCCCCAAACCAGCATGATTTCAGAATTATCTGTAGCTGTGGATTCTCCTACTACTGTTGCTGGCCCATCAGCTCAGCTAAGTCAAGTCTGACTGTGCATGACTCAGTCCTGAGGACATGACCCTATTCTCTTTGTTCTGAAGCCAAATCAGAAACAGCAGTGGCTCTGGTGTTCTTTCACCAAACCCTGCAACTAAAGCCAGGTTCAGTTGCACCATGTTACAACCACTCTGATGTATACAATGTACCTGCCTGATTAAAAAGTAATCAGGGCCTATAAATAAGCATATGCATAAATAAAAATAAGCAGAGACCTATATAATATAGTCAGTGCATTTATGAACAGAATACCCAAATACTCTAATTTTTAATATCTTAGGCAAAATGGGTACAAAAGGTAATGATAACTTAAATATTTGAAATAAGGAAAACCACATAGTCTACCAGTTCAGAATCCAGATTCTGTGTTTTAATAAGCCACTGCTACAGGTCCACATGGCTGCAGCCAAATCCCAGGCAGAAGTACAGAATGAGGCAAAGCACCCCCATCCTCAGGGGCCGGAGAAAGCCTAGGAGACTGTGGGTTCATCTGAAATCAGCAGCTAGAGCGCTATAGTGCCAAAAAGTGAGGGGACCGACCACCTGATTTCAGATCTGACTTTCTATCTTGTGAAATTCAATAATATTGTGGCGTTAAACTGAAAAGTTTCTGCAGTTGTTGTTTTTTTAAAAACATTAGGTCATTCTCCTCTGGACCAGAGGCTGGAGAGGAAGTGCTGGTCCACCCCACCCTGGCGGAAAGGTCCCAAGAGGGTTGGCTGTTGGCTCAGACCTCACAGGACAGAACTGTGATTGCACAACCTGCAGGGGTTTAAGAACTGAATGGAAAGCTGGCCCTCAAAACCCACAATTTTTATTCAATTGGGAGACTTGAATGACTTATTAATACTTTTGCCCCATGCTTTAAAATACGAGCTAGCACATTTTTCAGCAAAAGGCATGACAGTAAGTATCTGAGCTGAGCTGTCATGGGAAAGTGGTCACAGGTAAGGGGGAATACTCTGTTCAATAAAAGAGCATTTCAAGGAACAAAATCAAAACATATAATGACTTCATACTTACCTCCTACCTGGAAGAAGAAACAAGAATCTCCAAGGTGGAAGAAACCAAGCAACATAAATGCAGCAATTTCTCTTTCGTCCTCAAGGTAATGGTCATGTTCAGGCAAGAGCAGCCGTAATCAGACACGGACCGGGAGCCTGGCTCTGCTCCCTCTCACCTGCGCTTCCTGGGTGGGGCCCAGTCCTGACGCTAACTTCCAAGTACGCACGTGCAAGCGAAGCCAGTGAATGCACAAATGCGTGTGCTGTGTCTCCATTCAGACCGCATCAATAACGAAGCCTCAGCCAGCACTTCCCAGTGAGTTCATTCATACAAGTTAGCCCTTGTTCCAACCCGATGAGATAAATTCTGCAGAACTCACGTCTAGTCATCAGAAACTATCTGTTGACATTTCTGCCCAAGTCCCACTTTCTCCATATTTTAGCTCCAGTATTCACAGGTCATTGTCTCTCTGACGCATTCATTGAAATTGAAGGGGGAGAGCGGAGTAGAGAGAATGGCTTTAAGGTGACACGTGACTTGCTGTGGAAGGCACCTTACCTCTGTAACAAACAAGCTCTGAGCCTCCTCCTGGGCCTTCGCGGGGACGGTGGAACACCTGTAGCGGCCCTGCCTCCTCAGGATGGCTGTCTGCGGGGGGAAGCGCAGGGCGGGCTTGGTTACAGATGCCGGCACAGCACCAGCTGGGCCTCAGAGTCACCCAGGTCAGCAGTCTCGCCAGCAGGTACAGCTTCCCGTTACCCCCTTCGGCAAGACAACGGCTCCTGCCTTTGGGGATCTGGGACCCAGCGACCCCTCCTCTCTCCAGAGAGCCTTTCTGTTCCCCAGGTGAGGCAGAACTCCTTTCTGAGGGCCCAGTCTAATCACAGGATGTTGCTTTCACTGGCCTTCACTGCCCGTGTGGATGTGCATACATGGGTGTTATTAAAGTGGGTGTGTTAAAATGGTGTCTCTACCTGTGCCCCCATGTTATTGCTGCTTTATTTACAATTGGAAAGACATGGAAACAGCCCAAATGCCCAAAAGTAGATGACTGGATTAGAAAGATGTGGTCCATAGACACAATGGAGTATTACTCAGCAACCAAAAAAGATTAACTCATGCCTCTTGCAGCAACATGGATGGAGCTGGAAAAGATCATGCTGAGTGAGATAAGCCAGAAAGAAAAGGAAAAATACCAGATGGTTTCACTCATAGCAGGAGTATAAAGGATCAGGCGAGAAAAAAATAATAATAATAATGAACAACTGTATACCAGAGACATTTTACAGGGGTGGAGTGGGGAATGGGATCAAAAATTGTAGGGGGAGGGAAATGCACTGGACTGTGGTGATGGCACACAGGTGATCTGGTGATGGGAGAACACGGGTATTACAACTGAGATGGAAAAAGGCACAAAATGATGTAAGAAGAAACTATTTTACTATTTTTTTAATGGTGTCTTTATCATTGAGAATCAGGTTATTAAGAAGTTGCCCTGTAGAAAGAAAAAGTAGATAAATACTAGATACGCATGAGAGATGGGTGAGTTCTATTTCCAAAATTCAGATGGCAGAGGAAGTAATAATTGGGGTCATTGTAAAAATTTAGGCTGTTTTAAGTAAGTTTCCATATTAATACACCAACTTACAAAGTAGATGTTATTATTTCTCCCATTTGCAGATGCATAAACTATCAATCTATTCAAGATGAGACACCTCTAATTAAAACCAAACAATTATTCTGCACTATATAAGTTATCTAATTACTGTCTTTTTTAAGACTGCAGGAAATATAACTTCTGTGCTAAAGCCACGTGAACGTTCAATAAAAAAACAAACTAGGCAACATAAAATTCACCCTCTTAACCATTATTGAGTGCACAATTCAGAGGCCTTGAGCACCATCCCGCCGTCTAGCCCTCACCACATTCAACGCTGCATCACCTTCTTTGTGGTTCTGGTTTGCTTCCCACACCCAGTGCTGAGAGCAAGGCAGCTGGCCAGGCAGAGGTGCTAGGCCATACAGCTGAGCACAACGGGACACCACAACTATTGTTGTTCCCCGAGGCTTACACGCTTATTGTAAGAGAGAAAATCCTCCTGCCTTTCTCACTGGCACAGCTGCCCCAGCGCCCGTCTGGAAGGGGGTGCAGTTTCTAATGAGGAAACTAGCCTTTGGACTTCAGAAAAGATTGTTCGAGATTTCCTCCCATGAACTGTAATCCCTGGAGACTATTAAGAGATCGTATAAAAACAGCCTACGTATATATATAACAACCCCCACACTCCAACAACACAAAAAATACAACTTGATTAAGAAACAGGCAGATCTGAACAGTCCTTTGTCCAAAGACGCAGTGCATGTCCAAATAGTGACAGGTGTTCTACATCATTTCTCATCAGGAAAATGCAGATCAAAGCCACACTGGGATTTCACCAGACAGCTGTAAGAATGGTGTTTATCAAAAAGCCAAGAAACAGTAAATGTTGAGTGTCCCTGGAGGCACAGGGGTTAAAGACACAGCCATATCAAGCTATCGTCAGCCACTGCAGCAGGAGGTCAATTCTCAGCCAGGGAGCTGACCCACATGGCACAGCAGATCTTTTCTGTCTTGTCCACTGCTCCCCTCAGCAATGTATTTCAGTAGATCCACCTGTCCTGCTCCTTACTCTCTGGTCAATTCTCTCACCCCTCGCATCTCTGGTTTATACCAGGTTCTTATATCCATAAATAAATAAATAAGTATTTTTGAAAACATAATAGATGTTAGTGAGGATGTGTAGTAAGTCACCTTGTGCACTTTTTTTTGAGTGCCAGTTGGTGCAGCCACTATGGAAAACAGTAAGGAGGTTCCTCTAAAAGTGAAAAAGAGAACAACCACATGATCCAGCAATCCCACTTCTGGGTATTTAGTGAAAGCACTAACTTAAAAGTATACAGGTGCTCTATATTCACAGCAGCACTGCTCACAAGATCTGGAAGTGAACCAAATGCCTGACAAAGATGAGTGGCTTAAGCAGATGTTGTCTACACACACAATGGAGTACTACTCGGTCGTGAAAAAACCTTGCCATTTGCAACAACAATATGGCAGTGACCAGAGGAGAAAAAGGGAGAGAGGGCCCAATAGTGGGTGGGGGGTTGGTGAATAAACACTGTGTGTGTGTGGGGGGGTGTCTATGGGTGATATATACAGCTGCTGAGGTGAGAAACTGATACCTCTGTAGTGATGTCAACTAATCTTACTCCAGTATAAACACACGCACATATACACCATACACGAAAACATTTGCTGAAAGAATCTACCCTGTTGGCTCTCCTTGGCTAATTACTCATTGGGGATCCTCCAGGGACTATCTGGCTATTTCTCTTCTTCTTTCAGCTAGAGGAAGCTTGAAGCCCAATCTTACATTCTCCCCTCCAGCACAGATCAAGGCCTCCAGGGCAGATATTTTGTGCATAACATAGTTCCAGTTCCCATATATATTTTCTCTAATGTGTCTGCTTCACCTGTAACTATTCTTTACTTGTACCATGTCCATCTTTAAAATTAATCTTACATTCTATCTTTAGAAGAATAAGTTCCCCTTATTCAGCAGGACGGAAAGGGAGGAATTTGCTCTCCAACTCAGTCCTACAAAGGTGAATTATTAATTCCTTTGGCTTGTAGGCTGAGTCTGGCTTCTCTGTCAATACCACAACAGGTGACTCTGACCATACTCTTGCTCCCATGAAACACACAGGTAGACGCCAGCGCACAGGGAAAGTGGCATCTGTTCAACAAGCTACAAAGCAATACCTAGTTTACAGCAGAGTCCGTCAAAACTGTTACCAAGTAAGTGTATCAGTGAAGAGGAATTGTTAGGGAACTGTGCGTGCTTAAAAGAAGGGTGCATTCCAGACCTCTACTTCCTGTAATCTAACCTTGCTCTATTTGGGTCTATCAAGCTTTTTGAAACTAATTATCTTTACTTCTCTGAAATGGCTCATATCAAGAAGTAGGACTTAGGGTCATTTCCAGCCACTTCTCATCACAGCACAAGGAAGAACGAACACTTATTACAAGGTCTTCCCAGTGGAGTTCTCAACTCAGGAGGGTTTAATTATGTGACACTTTTCCAAACACCCCTTTAAGGTGAGAAAAAATAATAGGAAATGGATCTTTTCCATTCTCATGAATCAGTGTCATTAGGCTTTTGTTTTAAAAATAAAACAACTTTAATCATTAAAGAGAGGCCTGACCTTTCACAGATAGGATGGCACAGGACATACTGAAACCAGTCAGCCAGGCTTTCACAATCACGCGTCGATACCAGGATATTAGGTCTGAGTCCATAGCCCATCAATTTCTCACGAGCTCTCAGAGGCCCTGACTGGGGGCTGATCAGTCTCTGAGGTCATTACCCAAAACTCTCCCACAGAATTTGTCCTTCTCTTACCAGACTGCGGATGAGTTTAAGTACAGCAGCTCTGTCTTCTACTTGTATCTTTATGCTAAGTACACAATAAGTGTTGCAGGAATGAATGAGTAAAACAGTCAATGGAGACAGAAAAAGGAACCTCCCCATGTCACCCACTACCTGCGTGTCTATATTTTTCTATCACTACAAAAAGTTCTCTGGCCCATTATGGAGACGGGCAAGTGAAGACTGTACCATCAGTGAGTGCTCTTCTTCAATTTCTCCATAGATGTTATGTATTAAAGTAATACTATAAATCAAATCTGTGTAATACTATAAGTCAAATTGATTTGCACTAAATTGCTTTATTTTATTATCTGGCATATAACAGAGTCCAAATCAATACCAAGAGATTTATACTCAACAAACTGACAGGCCTTCTCCAAATATCAGCTCAACTCTCTTTTTCTCACGGTTGCAGCATTTTTGTCTACTCTTCTCTATGTTAAGATCACATCCCTGTTAAAAAAACAAGTCTGGAGGGCCCTCCCTGGTGGCACAGCAGGTTAAAGCACTGCACTAAGAAGCTTAAGCCACTTCCGCATGAGTTCAATCCCCGCTTGCGGGGGGTGGGGGGTGGGGGGGTGGAAATCCACATGGCGAGGCAGACCTCTCCTGACTCGCCCGCTGCTCCTCTCAGCAGTGTACTTCGTTGATCTGCCTGTTCTGCTCCCCACTCTGTCCCTGGTGAAGCCTCTCACCCACCACATCTCTGGCCTGTACCCCAGTTCTATATGAATAAATAAATCTTAAAAAAAAAAAAAACAAGTCTGTATTCCCTTTCTATAAACCAGGATCATGGCAGACAGTCAAAGAATATCAGTCCCATTTTGCTTAGAGATAAATTATTTCTATTTGACTAAGACAGCTTAGCAGCTTTCTACTGTGGAGCTGTCTACATCTGCAAAAGGTGAAGAGCTGTTCCAGCAGGAAGCTCTGCAGGATGTTATGATCTGTAGGTTGACTCTGGACACAGCCAGCATCTCACACAAGCAGAGAGAAACCTCACAGCACAAAACGTACATTAAAAATACAGTTCGCGTCTAGCTGCGTAATAGTCTAAATTCCTTTTGATCAGTGCCATTACTTAGGTTAAGTGTGTCAAAAGGCATCCAGAAATCCTAAATACCTTGGACAAGTATGGACAGGAATCTTATCAGGGGATTCCAGACCTTACAGGAGTGACTG